TCGAACTTCGACCAATTCTTTTTGGTACAGTGACTCTGCATTTTCCTTCCATCTTCTTTTGATGCTTCCTGCGTCATTCAATATTTTCCCCATAGAATTCTTCAGTATTGTAACTCAAGACTTGAATTTTTCCCTCAGTTATTTCAGCTTGAGAAATGCCGAGGACATTCTTCCCTTTTGGTTTACAAAGATTACAGCCTTGGAAACTCTATGGTGCAGTTCTACTCTGTCCTATAGGGTCACTATGAGTTGGAATCAACTCAACGGCAATGGGTTTTTCCTGCTGTTTTACAGTTTTTTCAAATCTTCCTTTCTTAATAGCATCTTTTTTATGTTTTTGAGTCCTCCTTTTATGTTTTAAATTCTTTTCAACATACATTTTTATTGACTTCATCTGATTTTATTATCTGAAGTTCTCAGGACAGGGGGCCTAACCCTACTACTATTGGTATCTGCTGACTCTCACTGATGGTGAATGGTTTCCTTGGATATGGTGAATGTGTTTTGGATTATGAGCTCATCTTCAGGGGAGCTTGTGGCTATCTTGTGTAGCCTGGGTTGAGGAAAAATTTCTCTAAAATGGATTGATTTTGTTTTGCCAGTCACGTCAGCTCTTTGACTGGGCTCACTCTTAAAGTTAATTTTGGGTTTGGGTTCCTAGTTCATGTGCTCAGCTGCTAACCAAAAGATTGAAGGTTCAAGTCCACCCAGAGGTACCTCGGAGGAAAGGCCTGGAGATCTGCTGAAAAATCAGCCACCGAAAACCCTATGGAGCACAGTAGTACTTTGAAACACATGGGGTCGCCATGAGTCAGAATCAGCTCAACGGCAGCTGATCCTGTTAGTTCATGTGGATAGTACAAATTAAAAACAACGACAATAACAACAACAACCAAAAAACTGTCTGAGGAATAAACCAAAAACCCACCGCCATTGAGTCGATTCCGACTCATAGCGATCAGATAGGGTTTCCAAGCCTGTAAATCTTTATAGAAGCAGACTGCCACATCTTCCTCCCACGGAGCAGCTGGTGGGTTCGAACTGCTGACCTTTTGGTTAGCAGCCGAGTGCTTAAACACTGCGCCACCAGGGATAGACCTTATTTTATTTTAAATATAGCTTTAATTTGATTATTGTTTGTCTCTGCCCACTAGGATGTCAGCTCTAAGAAAGCAGGGACCTTCTTTGTCTGCTTTTGGCTATATCTCCAGTACTGAGAGCACAGCTTGGTATGCAGTAGGCAATCAATAAGTGCTGAAAGAGGGAATAAAAGAATACTCACTTTATAGTGTGTTGTGAAGAATAAATGGTCTATCATATATAAACTGTGTTTGGCTGCAAGTAACAGAGAGCTCATCTAAGAATGGGGTTTGCTGTCTCACAGAACAGGAAGCCTGAAGGTAGGCAGATGCTGTCATTGATTCCATGACTCAGTGGTTTCAGATGTCTCTGCAATTTTCTTGGCCTTTGTCATATGGTTGTGAGAGATGGTTACTGTAGCTTCAGGCATCATATCCACACACAAGGCAGGAGAAAGTAGGAGCAAAGGGAGAGCATCAGTGACATTTCACTCTTACCAGGGAGGTAAAGGTTTTTCTGGAAGCTGAAGAACAAATCTCTGCTTTCATCTCATTGGCTATAAATAGGTTACATGGGCATCCCCAGAAGCAAGGGAACCCGGGAAGTGAGCATTTCCCTTTATCTAGACTCTATAGATAGGAGTCCCTGGGTGGAGCTAACAGTTAAGTGCTGGACTCTTAACTCACAGATTGGCTGTTCAAACCTACCCAAAGGTGCCTCGCAAGTAAGGCTGGGTAGTCCACTTCTGAGAGGTCACAGCCTTGAAAACCCTATGGAGCAGTTGTACTCCACACACATGGGATTGCTATGATTCCGAATCAACTTGATGGCAACTACCAATAACAACAGTAGACTCTATAGACAGGTGAATAAGTGAGGAGGGGGACTGTGGACACAGGTGGGGCATCCGCCCTAAATGAGATAATATATACATGTAAAGCACTTAGCAAAACAAGCCCTTAGAAAGGGGCATCTGTTTTCTTAATAATAATTCTTATCATCATTTAAAGTTTTACAGTCTCTGTGATCCTATTGGCATCAGATCGTCTTGGCTTCTGGAACCAGCAGGCACTAGGCACCCATACCCCCAGTGGTTTCCCTCCTTCTCTCCTTGTTCTACTCAGAGCACTAAACCAGACCAGTTGCTGTCGAGTCCAACTCATAATGACCCTACAGGACAGAACAGAACTGCTCTATAGGGTTTCCAAGGAGCAGCTAGTGGATTCGAACTGCTGATCTTTTGGTTAGCAGCCTTAGGTCTTAACCACTGTGCCACCAGGGCTCCACTCAGAGCACTGAAGCCCTTTAAAAAAAAAAAAAAAAACCTACATTTTCCAATGTGAGCCACTTTCCGCTCTCATTAACTCCATTCTCAGTGACTTGGCCAGATCCTGCTCTCAGCCTGAAGGAGTCAGGGATCTGTAGAAGTGAAAGGTCCGTCAGGCCCACGCCCAGGTCAGTGTCAAGGTGTCTCCCAAGGACTCTGGGATGGAAATAGCAGAAGAGCCCAC